GGGGACCCAGAAAGTCCCCAGCGGAGTGAGGAGAGGTGACTCAGACGCAGACAGGAAGTGGGAGGAACAGAGTGGGCTCAGGGTCAGGAGATCCTCCCTCCCCAGGGTGCTGGGAAGCTCCCCAAGCGAGCCGAGCTCTGGGCTGCGGCAGGCGGCAAGGGCCTAGTCTCTGCCTCCACGGAGGGGGGCTCCCCTGACGCTGTGGGGGCGTCCTCACCCTCGACCAGGACCACAGTCCACTTGTGCTGGGGGCTCTCTGCAGGTGCACCTGGTTCTAATCTTGTCACCAGAGTTTAAAACCTCGAGCAAGCACCACCATCTCTTTGAGCCTCCATTTCCTGGTCTGTCAAGTGGGGACAATGATCAGTCCACCTCCCTGTGCTGGTGTGAGGGTTGAACTGACCCCTAAGAACCAAAATCTGTTCCCCTGGCAGCGGCAAGAACCTCCACTCAACAAGGACACAGGGCAAGGGCTGGCTGTGGGGGCTGCGGTGACAGCCTTGGGTCTATGGCAGGAGTAAGGGGCCCCTGCATTTCTAGGCCTGTGGGTCCACCTTCTCTAGCGCCAATGAGCCAGGAACATCACCACTCTCTATGAGACTTTACGCCTCTCCAGGGCAGGAACTTGATCGCCCCCATTTGTTGGAACTTGCACGCAGCAGAAGCTTAATAAGCTGTTGGAGAGTGAGCAAGGGGATGGAATCTTGTTTTCCATAAACACCATCCCGCGGCCCAGACACTGGCTGGGCTTTTTCACACCTAATCCTCAGTACTTTACCAGGAAGGCTCTGTAGCCCCAGGGGAAAAAAGGAGGCTTTCAGAGAAGCCCAGTACCCAGTGGGGTGGGGACAGGCAGGTGCTGGAGTCCCCGTTTTGTGTCACTCCAGGGCTATTTGCTCTTCCTTTTTTTCTGCCACCTGCCTTCCACATAATTAAGTGCTAATGAATTCATTTCTCCATTTTTGTTATTTATCAAAGCCATATGTAGCTGTCAATCAGTCTGTTTGGCAGGAGGAAGGCAGGATTCTCGGGCCAGGTGTCCGTCACTCTGGTCCAAAGCAAAGGGTTGTGGCCAGCCTGGAAGCCCTGTGGGGGTGAGTGCAGGCAGCCAGCAGCCCGTGCGGGGCTGTCTCAGTGTCATGCCTGGCGACCACTAATCCGGAGAGGGTTATGTTGGGCTGGGGATGATGGTGACCGTAATTTAGTAAGTACCTACTCTGTGTCAAGCTCCGGGTTAAGTTCTTTCCTGCCCTCTGAAGTGGGTACTATCTCATCTCTGTCTCAGGATGAGGCAGGGAGCCACAGATAGGTTTAAGGAACTTGCTCCAGCCCTCCCCCACCCCCCACACCCCTGCACCTGGGATTCGAACCCAGTGCGGGTGGGTTCCTAAGTCCCTGCTCCTAACACTGAGGGAAGGGTGGAGAGGGCGGGGTGGCCTCAGGAGGCCCTGGGGGGAAGAGCGGCCAGAAGGAAAGGGAAGCCTGCCTGGCTGCCTGACGCAAGGGGTCATGAGATGAGGTCGGGGAGGAGCTGGGGACAGGGCCGGGCAGGACAGGAACTAGGCCACCTTCCTCAGATTCCAAGGCTGCCTACCCTGTGGCAGGTCTCAGCTTACAGAGCCCTGCAGAGCCTCACCTGGGCTGTTGCCAGCCAGGAGCGGGCATCCCTGAGGGTCTCTGAGGGCGCTTCCTAGAGGGAGGGAGGAAAGGTGGGGGGCTGGAGGCCATGGATGCAGCCCGAGGCCACATGAGGGCGGCCGAGAGTCCAGGCTGTGATGCCCTGTGCACCTGGCTGAACCCTCTGTGCATCACCTCCAAGTCCTGGCCCGAGAAGAAGCAGGGACCACCAGCCCCGCTGCACAGGCAAGGACAACGACCTCCCTGAGAGCCTGAGCAAATCACCATACCTTTCTGGGCCTCAGTTTCCAGAGGGGAGGAGGAAGCGGGGAGGGCTGGAGCCAACCTTCACGTTCTGGGAGGAAGAGCATGACTAAGCCCGAGGACCGGGGATGGCAGAGAGGCCCCGGTTCCCCGTGAGCGCCCGCCGTCCTCAGGACGCACCTGCAGGGTCCCCATACAGTTCCGATATGCAGACCTACGTCAGAGCTGGAGGACCTTGGGAGCCCTCAGATACAGCCTGCCCCTTTAAGCACGGGTAGACTGAGGCCCGGGGAGGGCCGGCTTGATGGGATGGAAGGCAGGCTTCCCAGCTGTGGCCCCTGCACACAGGCTGGCTCCCGGCCCTCTGCCGGCTGTCTCTGGCTGCTGGCTGCGGCGCGGCTCCTCAGGGCGCAGGCTCCCTCCTCCCGGCCCTCGGTTCCCAGCAGAGCTCTGGCTGCGATGCCCTGGCTGTGATCCCCAGGCCCTGCTGGGACCCAGGAGGCTGCAGCCCCACTTGGGCAGTGGCGGCAGAATGGGCGGTTTTGTCCTCCTGAGAGGCCGTCTGTTGGCCGCTCCCAGCCGGGGCCGGGCTGGGCTCGGCTGGCACAGTGAAGCCTTGTTTCCTTGAATACAAAATCTGCAGCCTTCCACTCTGGCCAGGGCCCCCGGCGGGTGGCACTTCCTTCTCTAGAGGTCCAGCTTCTCGGCCCTTTCCTGTCCCCTCGCACCCCTCCCAGTACCCCAACAAGCGCTGCTGGTGCCAAGAGGTGGGTGGCTTGGAGGAGTTCAGCTTCCCCTCATCCCTGCTAAAGCACCGCTCATCAAACTGGCCCCCATACAGCACAGTTGCAAACGCAGTTTCAAGACCCTTCCCCCAAGGCCCTGCCAAGCAAACAGCAGCGTCCCATGCCCTGCTCACTTGGGGGCGCCTGGGTCCTCCCAAACAGCTTATTTTTTGGAGGGGGTAGGGATGCCATGGAAGCCCAAGAGAAGGAGGGCTCCAGGGGGAAGGAGAAACGAGGGCTCCCGGTAGGTACATGACGTGGAAAGTCAGCCATTCATTCGGAAGACAGGAATGGAAGATGCAGATGCCTGTCATGGGAAACCCGGAAAGGAACAATATGGGTTTTTGAAGTCACCGACCCTGGTTCGAGTCCCAGCCCCACCATTTTCTAGCTGTGTGGTCTCAGCAAGTTATCTGACTTGTCTGTCTGCCCCGCAACCCCTCATGGGCCCAAGGGTCACGAAAACAGCCCCAGGTTATCGGATCTGGGGGAGACCTGAGGAGCTCCTTCCTGTCTCAGTCCTATCAAGGCTCGGATCTGTCCTTGTGCAACGCCTGCCTCTGGGCTCCTGCACGGGGCAAGCTCTACAAGGAAGCGCTCAGGAAGGGCTCAGGAGTTTTCAGTCTGTTCTTCCTGGAATGTGGACACCCCGTCTCCTGGCTTTGAGGAACAAGACTTGGAGTTAGAGCTGGGCTGCTCGGGCCCTTGGACTTCCACACAGAGGTCCTGGGTGGAGGGGTCAAGGATTTGACTCCTGAAAAAGTATGGAGCTTCCAGCCACGAGAGCCTGGGAACTGAAACCCTCTTCCCCTGCGTGGGGGGCGAATGCAGAAGCTGCAGATGCAGAGAGAAGTAGGGAGAGCCTTCCTCACACTGTGTGCTTGCACAATTCTCCTTCCTGGGCCTTTTGCTCTGGGTCTGAGCACTGCCAGCTATGTGTGGCGGGGCTGACACCCCTCTGCCTGCCAGCCAAGTTGGGGCCAGGCTTGGGGCACCCCTCCCTCGGCCTTGCGTGGCCTGTGCGGGCTGGGCCAGACCTCTCATCTCCCCGACACCTCAGCGCCCAGATTGGTCCTTCCCCCTTCTGATCCACTCTGCCCGAACACCAGGGCTGTCCACTCTCTGGGAGCCAGGCGAGTGGGACGGGCAACAGGAAGTGGGGAAGGCCACCAAGGGGAGAGGGACTGGACACTTGTCACCACTGGGCACAAACATAGCTGGGGAACAGTGGCCGCCCATCTCAAGCCCCAGGACGGTGGACCCAGGGACGGACCTGAAGGGGAACTGCGCCCCCCAAGAGTATCAAGTTTTGTATTCTAGGGGGTGGAAGGGCTGCGCCCACCAGCCTAGGGGTGTCCGTCTAAGCTAGGGAGCACACAGTGTGTGGAATTGTGGGGTAAAGGGCGCGGCTGGGAGTAAATGGGCGTCAGCTACAACAGGAGTGGGCCTGGGGCATCCGGGACCCTCTGTAGGGAGGGGAGGCGCAGGAGGGAGGGTGAGGGCCTTGACAGAAGCAGAAGCAGGGTGCAGGGGTGTGGGGTGGGGCAAGAGGAGGAGGGAGGATGGGCGGGGACAGAGTCAAGCCCGGAGGGCACTCAGCCCCCAGGGGAGGCCAGGGGAGGCTGGTGGGAGTGGGAAACAGGGACCCAGGGGAACTCCCTGGAAAGGCCACCAGATCAAGGGTGTGAGGGCGGGAGTGGAAGGGGCTACAGACTCTCTGCCCCCAGTTTACTAGTAAACCCGAAAAACTCCAGGGTGGGGGCGCCCCCGCCAGAACCCATGTCTTGGCGGATCTGAGTGAGCGGAAGAAATGGAACAAGCCCAGGAAAGCCATGTCTGGGGCACAGGTGCAGGGAATGGTCCCCCCGCCCCTTGAGAGGCACTGGGGGAGCGTGGGGTGGGGAACGCCAGTTGCTGGGACGTCGCCCCTGGTTTCCGGGTGTGGAATGGGGGTGGGGGGAAGGGTCACCAACAGGTAGAGGGGTCTTGGGCCTGAGCCTGGGTCTGGCGCCCATGTGCGGTGGCGGCGGGGCCTTGCGATTACCTGGAAAGAGCCCAGGGTCCCCGATGCGGGGACTCCTGGCGTACGGGGGCAGCATCCCGAGGAGGACGGGTCACATGCCAGGGACGGGGATCCCCAGACCCAGATGCATGGAGTGGCGGGTCTGGAAGCCTCGTGATGACCAGGAGGAGGGTGCCGAGTCCCCAGCGCGGGCGTGCGGGGTTCTGGGGCGCGCGGCTGGTGGCTGGGGCCCAGGGTGGCGCGGGAGCAGGGGACGGGGGCTCGGGCTCGCGGGAGGCCGGGGCGCGGGGTGGCGGGGGCCGGGCACTCACTGCTTGAACATCTTCTCCATGTCCTTGATCTGCTTCCTGGAGAACTCCTTGAACTCGGTGTAGGGGTTGAAGACGCGGCGGCTGGGCGACTGCGGCTCTCCGATGCCCTGGTTGAGGTCCGCGCGCCGCAGCAGCTTGGCGCTCAGCTCGTCGTCCGCGCTGCCCAGCGCCTCAGCCGCCTCGTCGGGCGCCCCGGGGCCCCCGGCCGCCGCCGCCCCGTTCAGGCCCGGCTGCCCGGCCGCGTCGCCGCCGCCCTCGCCCTCCATCTGCAGCCGCCGGCTCAGCTTGGTGGCCAGCTCGTCCGTGGCCATGGTGGCCCGCGCGGCGCTGCTCGGCCCGACCCGGCCCCTGCTTGCAGCGCGCCGCGCGCTTCCTCTTCCTGACACTGCCCAGCCGGCACCGCCCCGGGGTGGGACTTCGGGGACCGCCGCCCCGCCCCCGCGCCCCGCCTCCCCGGGCCAGCGAGCACCCGGCGCTGGGGTCCTTTCAGTCGCCCCGGGGGTCTCGTATGCCCACCACAATGGGTGCAGCCCGCCGTCACTAACCCCTGGGGGCCTGGGGACGGGGTTGTCATGAGAAGCCATCGCGCCTCCCCAACGTGTTCTCAGGGGGGTAGCTGAGTCGCCGCGGGAAGGGAGAGGGGTTACCCGGCCGAAGTTCGGGTGGGTGTGGGTCAGGGGCTCCGGGAGGCATCCCCCTAACCCCTTCTCTGGAATCCCCTTGCTGTGAAGTCACCATCCTGTATCTGTGACACTCTGTCGGTTGCCATGGAGACATGGAGGCGAAACACTGGCGTTCTCAGGGAGGGTTGCAGGGTCTGAAGAAGGTGGACCCGCGAGAGAGCGGGAGGACAGGGTAGATGGAACCGAGGCCTCTTTCTGCAAGGAGGCACCAGAAGGAGATGGGACCCGGCCCACCCTGGAAAGGTCTTGCAAGGCGGGGGAGAAGGACAGGGGACCGCGTGGTCCTCTCCCCTAGGGCCGCTCCAGCACAGGGATGACTCTGCAGAATAGACGCGGGGCCGGGCTGTTGCCTATGACTCCACTCTCAGGGGACTGACGGGGAGCTCTTGATGTTGATATTTGGAGGGGACCCTAGAAGAGAGGTGTTCTCCTCAAAGACTCATAGGAGGGAGCTGGGGGAAGAATCCAGGAGGGTTTATCTCTGGGATCCAGTCTGTCACCTTAAAACTGCAAAGTTCCAGTCTCAGAACCACTGGCTGTAATACAGATTCCCAGGCTCCAACCCAGACAGCCGATCCTAATCCCAAGGGTGGGACTCGGGAGCCGGCATTTTAACAAGCACCCAGGGAGGGTGGTCACACCAGCTGGAGATGGGGGACTTCGCACTGTGTGTATTGTCTTAAATGTTAGGGCAATGCAGAGGAATCCGTGACACCAGGCTCACAAGCCAAGGTGCAAAGAGGAATGAAGGGCCTAAAAACTGCAGTGGAGGCAGAGAGCCCCTGAGAAGGTGCAGCTAGGCAGCTGCTACGGAGCGATTTGTGCAGAAAGACATTCTTCGCCTAGGTGTCACTTTGTTCACGAACATTACTGAATTAAAAGGTATTATAAAGAATGAAACAGAAAAAACCCTCAGAGTTCAGAAAATGTGAAATGAACATTCACTTGTTCATAAGAGTAAAAATGTTCCGATTCAGTGATTTCTTCTTCTTCTTCTTCTTTTTGAGACAGGGTCTCGCTATGCTGTTCAGGCTGGCCTTGAGCTCACTATGTAGCCCAGGCTGGTTTTGCACTCGCAATGATCCTCCTGCCTCAGCCTCCCGAGTCCTGGGCTTACAGGTGTGTGCCACCACGCCACCATGCACTTTTTCATCTTTTTTAAAGCTCAGAATTAAGTTTCTGTTATTCTTGGGCAATTTGGTGCATCTACTTCCAACAGCCAGGTTCCATGTCTCATACCCAGCTGAAGGGGCCGACAGAAGAAAAACGGTCTGTTATTTAATGAATGCAAAGGACTGAGGTATAGACAAAAATGTTTAAAAGTATTGCTGTAGGTGCTTAGGTTGCCAAATTCTTGGTCTTCCTCACAAAGCAGTTAGTTTACTTTCTAAACTCTGGGGAACCTCAGTTTACCCCAAATTACAACTTCTAAAGTTTCTGCATGAAAGAAACCCGCCTTTATTATGGGATAGTTTGCATCTGCTCGACACGGGAGCAAACTTACCTGTAAGAGTACATGATGGAGTTTTCTTTCTTGGAAAACCACCTATATCTGTGATAAAACTGTGGGTTTCCTTTGAATGAGTTGGGCTGGCTGTGTGGATTGGGCTCCCCAGTCAGCTTCCCACTTGGCTTGTGTGGATGCAGCCGGGGTGAGCTGAGGCACGGTGATACACAGGTGCAGGAGCTCCCCTTCAGTACAGGTTGCACCTTATAAAAGGCGGGGGTTGCCTGCTGGAGCCTTGCTGCTCTCCAACTCAGAGCTCAGGAAGTGCTGCCCAGATGGGTGAATCTTTTTAGCACCTCTTGGGGTGACTTTTCACACACTTTTCAGGGTTTGCAGAAGTCGGAGGCTCTGTGACCACAGGCCAAGAACACAAGCTGCCTATTGCTTCGCCCACCCTTCTGAGGCTTGAGGCTGTGGCACCGCCCACCGAGAGACCACTGATGTGATCTGTCCCAAAGCCAGAGGTGCATGCTGGGGGCTCACTTTGTTTGAACTTGTTTCTTTCCAAGGTCATTTCACTTGAGGAAAAGCACTTGTTTCCTCCCCAGAAACCAAAGAAGTAGTGAGAGAGAGACGGGCTGGGGATTTAGCTCAGTGGCACAGCACCTGCCCGGCAAGCGCAAGGTCGTGAGTTCGATTCCTAGTACCAGAAAAAAAAAAAAAAAAAAAACAAAAAAAAAAAAAAAAAAAAAAAAACCCCAAAACAGTAGTGAGAGAAAAGAGGAGATAACTGATGAACTCTGACAGTAGATGAAACTTCCAGGAATATCAGTGGCCTCTTTCTTAGGGGTCATCGCTTCTGCATGAGCCTCAGCTCTGTGCCCCAAACATGGATTCTGGCAGAAAGCAACGATCAGCAATGGTGACACATTGCAGCATTTGGTCATGTGGAAAGAATGATCTTCAGGAAAAATCACACCCTCGGTGAAGGATTTTTACAGAGGCTGGGGAGAGCGCGAGCCAATTCTGACGCGATTCCAGCGGCGAGGGAGCAAGGCACACTTAGTCATCATTGACTTATGTTTCTTTTCCTCCTCCTACATACACTTGTGTAACTTGTCTTTTGGGGAGGGGCGGAGTAACATTAAGAAAAACAACAGCACTTTGCAAAAGAGAGGTGGGGTCCAAGAAGGGCAGAATGCTTTGGGAGCAGGTCCTGGGGAGATGGGGAGGTGGCCTGAGCACTGGGGGACATTCCAGAGCCCGCCAGAACTGGGTGGTCCTGCTAGTCTGCCATGCTGGGGAAGCACCAGGGATTAGCGAGCTCTGAGAGATAAAGTTGACTCATAAAATGCAGCATCCGCTTAGCACTTTACAAATATCAGCATGCTAATTAATCATTACACACTGCAGTCATCAGGAGTCCCTGGGTGGGTTGAGAAAGAGGCTTAGAGGTCAAGGTTCAAGGAAGCACAGTCAATCGGAGCAATCCGGGTGAGGACAGGAGGTGGAGTCACAGCCTAGTTGGCCTCAGAGGCTTTCTCATCTTTTGTAAAATCTGGAAGTCATGCAAGGAAGGGGTGAGGTAAGGGAGCAAGGTGCAGATGGTGTCAGACAGGCACTTAGGGGACCCTCAAGTGGGGCAGGTGGAAAAAGGGATGATGGCGGGACAATAGCTGCAGGTAGAGGGACCGGCTGCAGGTGGACCCATTTGGAGATCACTGGAAAGAATTTATCTTTCGAGCTGTCTTTCAGGGTTATCATGGATACTTTGAATGTATTTGAGGGCCTAGATAGTCTTCAAGTACATGTGTATATGGGTGTGTACGTCCAACTGGGCATGATTTGTGTTTCTACGTCATTGGTCATATTTAACACCTTGAGTGGCCTAAATCTTAGTTCTGTTTTAAATTCCTAAAGAGTGTATGTGTACACTGTGTGTGTTTGTGTGTGGGGTACCTTAACACTCAGCGACGCTGCTTCTATAGTGGCCTCCTGGATCCTTTCCAAGGATGCTAAGAATCTGGGCAGCACACTGTGATTTTTATACTGGCAACAGCTACTGAGAGTATCTAGCCGTGCGTTGCTAGATCCATGCAATCAAGACACGTTTATTAAGTGTGCCGTGGCTTGGGCACTGGTCCTGGAATGCTCCTGGTTGGAAGCCCCTGGGGAAAGGACCAAAGTAGCCAGATTGACGTGTGAGATTTATTGGACCTCACACGGGGTGAGTAGAAGAGGCTGCAATTCTTCCAGCTAGTCAGCTCCCAGCCTTGTGAGGACCCAGCAGTTATTACTGTGAAGCAGTTCCTAGCTATCTGGTGTTCTATCTGCATGATGACTTCCCTTCTCAGCACCCAGGTTGGTATCTAGCCCTAGCTGAATGCTGGGAAAGTATTTGTTGAATGAATACACAATGGTCTGCTCTGCTGGAAGGCTGGGGAAACATTGTTTTGTCAGTGTCCCCTCCAGAGCATCTGGTGGCCCATTTGTAGGGCTGAAAGTCATTGCCAAGAAAGAGAAGCTGCTAAAGTGACACCTCTGTGCACCCACATGACTCAAAGGTTACAGGAGCTGTTAGAACACAAGCTTCTCAAGTGTCTGTCCCCAGTATCCTCCAGGGGAGTGACGGTGGCATGAGATAGGGGTTAGGGCTGCATGACCTGCTGGGCCTTGGGCATCTCTGTGGCACAGAGGTCATTTAAACTGCTCTATGCCCATGAGACAGGGCCGAAGGAGTAATAGGAGGAAGGTGCCTGTAAACACTGCATGTGGCCACTGCAGGGGCACCAGGAGCTTGGGACACTGAAAGGGACACCGTAAAATCAACCCACAATGGGCCAATGCAGAGAAAGGCAAAGTCAGGTGAAAGGACAGCATGGTGCCTCGAGGGCACCTGAGGTATCAAGTGAGGACAGCAGGTTCTCAGAAGGGGGTGCGCACCCTGGTGCCAGGAGGCATCAGGTGTGTCCTGAAGGTAGCATCCGGTCAGGTGTGGGCCAGGGGAAGCTGGACTTCAGGCCACTGTGGGGAGGCAGCTCTCTGAGGGCCATGGCAGTGTGGTGTGATGGCTTGGAGCTGGGGTGTGATAGCTTTGACCATCCTCCTTGGATGACCTTGGGCAAGTTACTGTGCCTTTCTGGCCTCAGTGGCATTGTCTGTGGAATGGGACACTGCTGTCCTCCGGCAGAACTTGAGAGGATTAGATGAGAAAACAATGTAAGAAGTTCAGTGCTGTCCTGGGCACACAGTGAAACTTAAAGTGCTCTCCGTGGAGAGGACAGCGATCATCTGGCTTCCTGGTGGTCACAGGAGGGCAATAATCATGCAGATTTTACCACTCGGCTTGTGCTGACAGTGTAGGTTTGGCAGATTTGCTGCACTGCTTGTGTTTATAAACAAGTGAGTTGCCTCACCTGTCATGCTGCGGCGGCAGAGTTGAGAAATAACCACAGACCCATCATTAGTCAGGTCAACAAAGGGTAACAGTCTTTTACAGAAAAAGGGCTTTTGTTAGCTGGTCCTTTATAGAAAAAGTTTGCCAACCCCATCCTCACC